TTAAAATTGTCTTGAAAGTCGTAAAACTAAGTTGTAAGAATGCTGGATAACAATTTGCTCTTAGGGTGATTAATGTTTGTGAATTCTACCCAAAGTGTGTTTGTGTCTGTGCAGGTGCGACTCAGCCAGCTAATGAGGCAACGGGAATGCCTGCTGAGGGAAAGCGAAGCAACAGTGGCGAGAAGGGAAACCATCGTCTTGCGCAAGGAGGCCATGATGAGGAACTCCCTCAAACAGGCTACACAGGGTGACCTGAGCCTCTCTATACAGGGCCTACAGCGCAAGATCCGGGAAGCACACAAGGTAAAAGAGGCTGACGGAACATTAATTCCGTCAGAAATCTCGTTGCTTGGAGCAGGTTGAGCATTTATCTTACATGCAGGATTTGTCTTCAGCAAGTGGTAGAGTATGAGCAGGTGATTGAGGAGCTACAAAAACAGAAGGAGAGTTTGAGAGACAGGATCGCGCAGAGGAAGACTCATCTCACAGAACTGTGCAGCACCAGTTACATCCTCGACTCTGACTTTGTTAATCTTCAGGATACCAAAGAAAGGGTAAGGGTCACAGACTGTGAATGTGAATATGTGATTGTACTTTAAAATTGTTATTCTTCTGAATTGCACTGGGTTGCATGTACAGTGAGGGTGTGATCCACTTTTCATTGGCTTCTAATCCGATGCACTCTTCATTGTTAAAGGAACAATGATACCCGGTATGTGTCAATACAAATGTCTAATGGGAAGTGAAACTGTTACCATTGCACAACTTAATGAAGGTGTGGTGAGAATGTTTAACTTGGTTTTTTTTGGGTCACGTACACAGAACTTGCTCATCACAGTTTCCACTCTTGGAAAATACTCACACTTATCCGACCTATCAGGAATAAAATATAACTACTCATTGTTTGATTAATATGTCATTACTCTGTCATTATCGCTCCCTCTCTCTAGAACCTAGGACACCTAGTGGCTCTGCAGAGTCGGGCCAAGAGGTTGCGTACAGTGTGTGAAGGCAGCTATCGAGCACTGTCCACCCCCGAATCCGTGGAAGCCGCCCTGCAGAGGCAGACGGACCGCTTGCATGCCATCAGCACCATCTTGCACCGCGTATGTGAGGAGTTCCCCCAACATCAGGGGGCGCTCCGCAGGCTGTCACGAGCGCTGTCTGAACATGCACAGGCTGTGGAATAGGAAACATCCCAAAGTCAGGAAAAGATGACGTGACAGTGCGCGCTGGAAGGACAATGCACAGGAATGACATGTGAGTGAAAAAAGGGAAAGCTTAGATAAGTAACAGCCAGGGAAGGATGACAACTTGTTCACATTGATGTGTGGTTTCGTTGATGCATTGAAATGTTGTTTGTGAAAAAAATTTAAGAAATAAAAGGTAATGAAGTTTCTAATCTCAAACTTAATTATGTGGCCCACTGAATTGTGTTAAAGTTGACCCCAAGGGCTTTTTAGACTGGCACATTTAAATTCCGGATCTCCAAAAAGCCAGTTACAAAATACCTGAAAAGCAAAAAGATGTTTTTTGTTGTATTAACTAATTATTGTGGAAAGTAAAAATCACAGTACTTTGGTGATCATTAAAATATGTCCTGAATTTACAAATTGATGACGATTCATCTGATAATCCATGACACACTGCTCTGCCCTACATGAGCTGCCTTTATAGGTTCAAAGTGTCTGCATTGGTATTGGCAACATTTGCAGCATCGTACAGCAGTAACTTACAAACAGAAGGTTTGAACAGCAGATGAGTGAAGTGTCTGTGCTCACAAACTTCCATATTGGAGATATCTACTCACACACAAAAACTGAAGCCTGGCAGTGATTCGTTTTACATACACCATCCTCAGCCATGTTTAACATGAGCATTCACCAGTGTGTCACAAATATACAGTAATGTGCAAATATCTTAAAGCCACCAATTAGTTCGTTATGTTTTGCTATGAAAAATAGGTGCAGGTATATTGTTAAAAGATACATCTAGTAAATCTAAGTATATTAGGCAAAGTCAAAGTTTATAGAGTTCTGATGTTGTTGAAACACAATATTTGGTGTGACCAGTTTTATTCTTCAGCTCAGCTTGAACTCTCTTAGATGAGATTTCTTTTAAGTAGACTTCAGTATTGTTCTCCAGGCTGTCCTGGTCACAAATCTAAACTTTTGATTACAGACAAACTGGTTTGAAAGCAAACTTACATCACTTACAGACTTACAGTAATAGCTCTCTGTTGTTTCCTGTGTTCATAGTCTCATCTTCTATTGTTGAAAATGATTTTGTCACTGATGGATGGAGGATTTCTAACTATTTCTGAAGTCTTTGACCTCTAAAACCCACAAAGAATTCCAATTGAGCAACCTTGGAAACAGCTTCCGTTCACTGTGTCATAACAGTTGTATTTAGCTCATTTCCTTCTCTTCTTCATTAAACCTTTAACTTTACATTTACAGTTTTGCAGATATTTTGTCAAACATGTGTTCCACATTACATAATAATATTAATCTGAATATATAAATCTCTGTTGTGTATTTTTTTTTTTCATTCTTCAGTTCTGCTTGCTTTCATACTGGAGAAATTATAAAAATGTTATATACTTCAAACAGTGTTCAGTAACTCAAAAGCACTCAAGAAACAGTAAAAGTACACTCATCACCAGGGGAGTGAACTGCCTTTGTTCAGCTCGCATTTTGTTGTAGCAGTCAACTTCATTAGGCTAAGGCAGCCACGTTAATGCTTTCAGCGACGGTAAAGTGGAATCTTTAACACAATTCTGAAAAACCAGTGATCGAGCCTTTTCACTCGCAAATTGTAGAATGATCTCCTGCCCAGCCCCCTTGTTACCTCTTTTTAAAATATATCTTAAAACTCTTTTTTATTCTTTGGCTTTTAAATCCGAATGAGAGTGGTGTACTCTTAGCTTTTATTTACAGTAGTATTTTTATCACTGTTGTTGTTGTTGCTGATTTTTTGTGTAGTGTTTTGGTGATTTGTATAGCACTTTGTCAAAATTGTGTTTTAAAAAAAAAGTGCTTTATAACTAAACAGTATGTATCATAAAATATCGCATAACTATTAGATTGGATTTCACTTAAAAATATTTATTTTAAAATAGCCTGATATTCCACAGTCACACCTTTTTATATAATATTTTTCATACTGCCGTGGTAATGTGTTGATCAAATGGAAAACGTGCCACTTTACACGGTACACATGCCCTAAAGTACACAAAACACTATATTATCAGTACTTGGTGCGACATGACGCAAGCTTATTTTGGTTTTCTATTGTCAGTAGTACACATGCTTTGTTTCTTTTCTCATTCCTTATCAGTTGATGTCAAAGATCAGTTGAAGATGGTACAAAAACGTAGTAGGGACAGAACTGTCACGTACCATCTGGAGTGACAGAGCAGAGAAAAGAACCTAAAGTCAGGTTAGCACCAGCCTTGTAATGTTGCAAGGCTGTGAAACCTGCTGCCCAAATAGCAGACTCTTGCAAAGCACATGGAAAACCTTATAGTATTTCACCATCACACTGTTATAGCACAGGCTTAGCAAAACATGCAGCTGATACAGAGAATTCAATTTCCTTGTAAATGATGTGTCCGCTCAGACACACCCAACTGACACTAGCTAAACTAAAAGGGAGAAAGCTTTTACATGACCTGCAGTATAAGTGGTGATTTTATCCATGAATGTTTAAAGCAAGTACACGAGTCTCCTCATAACAATTTCAAGCAGTTTTGTTATTTAGGTTTTAATGCAGAAATTTATTTTATTCTGTTTTATCTTCTGGCAGCTTCATTTTATTTTGCCACTTTACGTACTGAGCTACCAATGAGGACAAAATTAATAGCACGCCCCCCAATAACATTTTTGTCGAATCTTTCCTAAGTGCTTTAATAGAGCAAGACATTTTCAACATAGCATTTCTAAACATGCTAGTTTTCTTTAGAAATGCAGATTGGACCTGTTCAGATTTTCATCACAATAATAGATTTATTTCAGAAAAATTACCATGGTCACTATTATTAGTCACGGAAAAACTGAGCTTTGTATCGAGCCATAATACAAACCACTGCTGTGCAATGATGTGCTTTTACTTTGTGGCACTCAGAATTTGTAAATCAAGTTAAAACTGAGGGTTATACACAGTATAAAAACTTCAGCAAGGGTTTGAGTATACAGAGGACTTCAGTGTCTGCAAAGCGCTCAGGTCTTATGGCTGCAGAAAAAGCCCATATCATGAGCCCTGACGGTTGGTATATAAGGTGTTTGTTCTGATATGCTGTGTTTAGTTTCTGGCAAATGTGATTCTGTGGATTATTCCACTTGGTTTTGGTCTGTCCAAAGGACATTGTTTCAGAAGTCTTGTGGTTTTTTCAAATGCAACTTTGCAAACCCAAGCCATGCTGCCATGTATTTTGAGAAGAGGCTTTCTCCTGGCAACCTTTCCAGACAGTCTTTACTTGATCATTCTAGCTCTAATTGTACTGTCATTAACTTTAACACCTAACAGTTCACATTAATAATGATCAGTCCATCATGTCAATTTTATTAATAGCTCCTGACTGCTACTAATCCTTAATTCTTATAGAAGCAGTAGAGTATGATTCGTTTTTCACAGGCCTGCTTCTGCATCACGGTGTGATATTTCATGGTGTATACTTCATCTGAGGTTGCATTTGCCGAATTTTAAGACGTGCTAAGGACCAGATTACATTCGGTGTACTATAACTGTTACCAACCCTGATTGGAGTGTTTGGTAGATTATCTCTATACTGTCAAAGGTAAAAAAAATAAAATAAAATAAAACAAAATCAGAGACCAGTCCTAACAAAGAACAACCTCAAAGACCACAAATCAGGACAAAGAAAGAACACAAAATATTCATGGCAAAAAAAAGTGAAGAAACAGCAGGAACTTGATTTTTTTCACAATGTCAAACAGAACTGAAATGAGGAAGCTTTATTTGAAGGTCATTTCTGTAACTCTGGATTTCAAAAAGGCAAATCACCTCTAAAAATACTTCCAGGAGGAAGAGATGGGGCATTATTTATCCACATGCCACAACCTGACGGGCAATGAATGACCTAAAGCACAGAACATGCAAACATCCACATGCACATGCATCCAGTTTGATACAACTTTTCCAAGTATTATGCAAAATTTTCAAAATGTATAAAAAGATCATATTTTGATGATTACTATTTATGGAAACTTTCACGTTGGTAACACCAGACTGATTGGATTGATGCCACTGATCAAAGATATTTTCATGATTGTCACATTTCAGCAGCCAGTTTGTGCCAACAGTTAGCTGCAATGTTAGTGAACCTTAGAAAGATAGTGCTGCATAGCTACTGCTCATCACACTTGCAATCCTCACTGGAACTTCTTTTTCTCCAGAAAACCGTTGTTAATATGTAAACTGCAATTACTTGTTGAGCTTTTACTGTTAATGTGTATAGTTATTAACCCCAATCCCAACTCTAACCTTAACTCTATCCCAGGGAATCAGAATACCGCTTCTTTCAGATTGTTCTCTTGCGAATCAGGGAACAAATACAATAATGATTCTGACTGACACACATCAAGGACTATCAATTTTTTATTGGTCTAAAATTAGAGTTAATGTAAAATTAACACCCATAATCACTCAGCTGAATTCAATTCAGTTTTATTTGTATACCACCAAATCAATTCAATTTTATGTAAAGACCCTACAATAATAGATAAACATCAAAACACCATGAAAAATTCCTAATCTGAAATGATCTCACTACCATCCTTTTACACCTCGAAGCTGGCCGTGCTTTAGGAGGCTTTGTTGGTAATAATAGTCATTATCTTCCTGTATAAATCGTTGGTTGTTACAATAAAAAGTGTCAGTTAAATATATCATATAGGAGACACACACAGTGATATTTGAGAAGTGAAATGAAGTTTATTGGATTTACAGAAAGTGTGCAATAATTGTTTAAACAAAATCAGGCAGGTGCATAAATTTGGGCACTGTTGTCATTTTATTGATTCCAAAACCTTTAGAACTAATTATTGGAACTCAAATTGGCTTGGTAAGCTCAGTGACCCCTGACCTACATACACAGGTGAATCCAATAATGAGGAAGAGTATTTAATGGTGTCAATTGTAAGTTTCTCTCCTCTTTTAATTTTCTCTGAAGAGTAGCAACATGGGGGTCTCAAAACAACTCTCAAATGACCTGAAGACAAAGATTGTTTAGGGGAAGGATACAGAAAGCTGTCTCAGAGATTTCAGCTGTCTGTTTCCACAGTTAGGAACATGTTGAGAAAATGGAAGACCACAGGCTCAGTTCAAGTTAAGGCTCGAAGTGGCAGACCAAGAAATCTCGGAAAGACAGAAGCGA